TTTTCGGAGACGTTCGAAGCGGGGGAGACGAAACGTTGGTTCGCTCGGATGGAATTGATCTTGAGATTTCAGGAGTTTTTTTTAAATCTTCGAGAATAAGGAAGGGAGAGAAAATGTGTCTCCCTTAGAGCAGGGTGTTTGCCGTCATAGGAAGGGTCTCTCGCGGCCGGCGTCTGGTCACACTGCCGGGTTTCAATAAGAGATTCGTCGTGGTTGTTTAGCTCCCGGTGGCAGGTCGTCCCACAGGGGGGAGTGGGGGTCGGGTGGAGGGGGGGGGTAGTGCGAGACGACCTGTGATTAGATTTTTTTTTTTTTGAATAGGTATTAAATTCATGCGATATTTTTTCTTCCTCTCTTTCTTTCTTTTTTATTTCTTTTTTTGAGCTCGTGGTTGATCTTTATTTTGTAGAATTTGTTTATTTTCTTCTTTTTCTCTTTTTTTCTTATTTGGTATTTATATGTTTCGTCTCCTTCCGACCTCGGATGTCTGACCCTCTCCCTCTCTCTTCCCTCCCGCAGGCCAGGTCACGACGGCGCCAACCTCCGCTTCGCCCCAGGGTACCACAAGAAGTACCCGAAACCCGTACCCGCTTCCTCCTACCCAGGCTACCCCGCACACTACCCGAACTGGGGGTCGCAGTATCCGCAGCAACAGGTCGGGTATCTGGGACGCGACGAGGACCCAGCGAGAAGCGAGGAAGTAGTACCCGACTCTTCGCGGAATAACCGGTACCCGCTCGGCACGGACGGGTATCCGGGCAGCGACAACGAGCACCCGTCGCTCACCAACCGATACCCGGGCACCCGAAGCGGATACATCGGGAACGACCTGAACGGCGTCCCTTTACCCGACACCGACGCCAGGTTCCCGCCGACCCGCGTGGAAAATGTCGGCTACCCGCACCACGGCGTCGGATACCCGAACTACGGCTACCCGATGATCAAGACCTCGCCCAATGACGTCATCAACGGGACCTTAGTGAACCCGTGGGACGCCGCGGTCTGGGACCACGTGCTCGACCCCGACGTCTGCAGGACCATGTCGGGGCTGACGAGGTCGCAGCTGCACGTCTGCACGCGGTGAGTGGCGGGGGCGGTTTCAAGCGATTTTTGGCCTTTGAAGCCTTTAACTATCATTTTCTGTCCTAGGATTATTCATTTCATTATTTTCTATTTATTTTGTTATGATTATCTGTTCTAGGATTATTCATTTTATTACTTTCTATTTATTTTGCTATGATTGTCTGCCGTTTGATTTTTTTGACAATCACTTTCTGTCCTAGGATTATTCATTTTATTATTTTATATATATTATGTTATGATTTTCTGCCTTTGGAAGCTTTTTTAACTATTTTTTCTGTCCTAGGATTATTCATTTAATTATTTTCTATTTACTTATTTTGTTTATGATTTTCTGTCCTATGATTATTAATTTTATTACTTTCTATATACTTATTATGTTATGATTTCTGCCTTTTGAATCTTTTAAGATTTTTCTGCCCTAGGGGTTATTCATTTCATTTTTTCTAATTTTACTTATTTTGTTACGATTATCTGTCCGATGATTATTCCTTCTATTATTTTCTATTTACTTATTTTGTTATGATTTTCTGTCCTAGGATTATTCATTTTATTACTTTGTATTTACTTATTCTGTTATGATTTTTCTGCCTTTTGAATCTTTTAACTATCATTTTCTGTCCTAGGATTATTCATTTCATTATTATTTTTCTATTTACTTATTTTGTTATGATTTTCTGTCCTAGGATTATTCATTCTGTTATTTTGTTAACTTATTTTGTTATGATTTTCTGTCCCAGGATTATTCATTCTATTATTTTCTATATACTTATTTTGTTATGATTTTCTGCCTTTAGAATCTTTTAATTATCATTTTCTGTCCTAGGATTATTCATTTTATTACTTTCTATTTACTTATTTTGTTATGATTTCTGCCTTTCGAATCGTATAATTTTCTGTCCCAGCATTATTAATTTCATTATTTTCTATTTATTTTGTATTCATTTTCTGTCCTAGGATTATTCATTCTATTATTTTCTGTTTACTTATTTTGTTATGATTTTCTGCCTTTTGAATTTTTGACATTTTTTTTCTGTCACAGGATTATTCATTTTATCATTTTTCTATATACTTATTTTGTGATTTCTTCTGCCTTTGGAAGCTTTTAACTATCATTTTCCGTCCTAGGATTATTCATTTTATTACTTTCTATTTATTTGTTATGATTTTCTGCCTTTTGAATTTTTGACAATTATTTTCTGTCGCAGGATTATTCATTTTATTACTTTCTATTTTACTTATTTGTTATGATTTTTCTGCCTCTTGAATTTTTTGACCAATTATTTCTTGTCGCAGGATTATTCATTTTTCTTATTTTCTATATAATTTTGTTTATGATTTTCTGCCTTTTGAATCTTTTAACTATCATTTTCTGTCCTAGGATTTATTCATTTTATTACTTTCTATTTACTTATTTTTG